TCCACTCTTGTCACGTTTTAATTTTCCTTAATAAAAAGTTCCTGAAAGTAAACAGACAAACAGAATCCCAAGGGGAAATTGTGAATGGGTGAGACAGGAAAGGCAGAATCAAAAGGATTCTGTCTCAGAATTGACAGCCCTCTTCTGTCTCTCTCTTATCTGTTAGATAAGAATGTAACACCAGAGCTAATGAGACCATGTTTCAAAAAACAAACAAGAACAATACACCAATTTAGGAGCTGTTCTGGGAAGCCTGTTTTGAACCCAGTGGCAGCACTATCCACATGGACCCAACAGAGGGGCTCAGACCAGTAAACTTGTCCAGGTGGCTTCTGGATTTGGGGGGATTATGGTGGATCAGTGTAATCCCGGGCTGTCTACCCCGGCCATTCTCTCTGGAGCGTCATGCGGCCCGCCCCCATTCCCGGAAAGCTAGGTGTGATTCGTCCCTTCTGCAAGTATTTATTGAGCGCTCTGTCAGCTACCAGGACACGTGGGCTGCAAACGCATCTCTGCCTCCAAGCCCTTTGGCCAACCATTTTCCTGTTATCTTTTGATGAAAAAACGTCTGTCCATTAGAGAGGGTTTTATTTACAACTGACATAAGGGGATGGGATTTTTAAGAGAAAGCAGAAATCAATTTCCGAGATCAAATCAATCAATCCCAACCACAGTAATAGCTGGCATTGCTTCCAGGTCATAGCTGTCTTCAGTCAGAAGCCCTGTCCTGAGTATACAGTGGCTGGCCTGTGATGCCAGCATTTGGAGGGGCTGAGAAAAAAAGTATCACAAAATCAAGGCCAGTCTAAGTGACATAGACAAGGAAACAAAAGATGCTGGCCTAACCCTAACGGTGGGGTCACATTGATGTCATAAGATGGGTTTTGTTGTCTGGGGTTATCTGCTGCAGCCTCCCCATACCCTGCTCTTCTTCCAGAGGGTTCTGCCTCTATTATCAGCGGTCTCCACCCACAAGCATTTCATTCCAGGGCCTCGCAGATAACGTGGAGCCCCACAGGGGCCAGACTCTGTGAGGTGCTTGGTAACATCACTGTCTGCAGGATTCTCTCCAGCAGCCCATGAGGCCTGGCCCAGTCACAGGCCTCTAGGTGTCTGTGTCTTTTCACCCATGGTGGGTGGGCTGGGGTGGAGGCTAGAGAAAGTTTCTCAAGAGATGAGAGCTAAGACAAACTTGTGAGAATGAATAGAAAGAAACCACTTTATGTTAAGGAAACAATAAGACAACCAAACACACAAAATACCAAGCAACCCAGCACGCTATGTGCTGGAGGTGCTCAAATGACTGCTGCAAAATCTCAAAAGAGAGGAATTAAGGAAGTGGCCTTCTGTGCTTGCTTGGACAGGAAGACGTCTTGTACTGCGCATGGAAAACTCCCTGCCTGTCCTTGCCTCCCCAGTGATGGCATGAACCCTATTTTTTTCTTCTCTTTGATTCCTTTCCTTTCCTTGATTTTTGTTTATGTTGTTTACTTTATGATTTGTTAATTGTATTTATTATTATCATTTTTGTTGTTGAGGCAGGGTCTCACTGATCATTTGATTGGTCAGTTCTGTCCCTCCCCCCCCCCCACTTCCTGACCGGGATGGAAGATCAAGCTGTCATTTCCAGCTTCCCAGGATTTTAGGCTCCTCCAAGCCCCACCCAACACTGACTTCCGTAAATACATGGTTTTGTTTGTATTTTATTGCACTTCTATTTCTTCACTTCTTGGTTTGTTTGTGTGTCAGGGTATATATGTGGAGGTCAGAGGTCAACTTACAAGGGAACCTTCCTTTCCTTCCACCATGTGGGGCCAAACTCCAGCTCTGAGCCTTCGCCCACCATCTCCTCAGCCCATGAAAACGTGTTTTGGGTGGTGCTCTCTCCCTACAAAGCTGCAGGCTGCCCTGGAGGTCCTGATGGAGGCCAGGCTGGGTTTGAAGGGCACCACAGAGCTGCAGCCTAGAGCCCCGAGACCCTCACTCACTTAGGCTCGGTGCGCCCTGATTTGCCCAGCAGAGATTGCTCGACCGGAAGTTAAATTCAGGTTGGCTCACACTAAGGTCCTAGGATTCACACCAGCCAATCTGGACTGCCCTCCTTCAAGTGGCATGGATTATGTGTCCCAAAGCTGCACATCCTAATGTAAGAAGGCGTCCTGTTACCCTGCCCTACGGGGTCATTGCCCTAAGACACAGGTACTGCTCTTCATACTGCCCATTTACCTTCTTCCACCGTACTCAGTGAAACTCGTCCCATTCTTAAAAATTAGGAAGAATTAAGACATTTGGATCGGCCGGGCAGTGGTGGCGGCGGGAGGCAGTGGCACTCGGGAGGCAGAGGCAGGCGGATCTCTGTGAGTTTGAGGCCAGCCTGGTCTACAGAGTGAGATCCAGGACAGGCACCAAAACTACACAGAGAAACCCTGTTTCGAAAAACCAACAAACAAAAAAAAGACATTTGGATCTTATCCGCTGGGCCATAGTGACCTGAGTGGATTAGCATTTGGGGTCATCAGTGAAGCTGTTGGGAGAATTCATCCTTGAGCTGCCTCTGTCTCTTGATTCCACGGACCCAGTGAACCTATACCCACACCCGATATACAACAGAAGCAGCCCCGGAGGGTGGAGGATTTACTTGCGAGTGGAAGTGGGATCCAGACTGAGGTTAGGGAGAGGCACACGGGGTTGCTATAGGTAGTTGACTTGAGCTGCTAAGGACTTGCTTGAACTTGGCAGTGATCACAGCTGTGAAGAAGCCACACGGATGAGAGATGTAGAAAGAAAATGGCCCAAAGGGATGCGATGAAGGCCCAAGGGGTGGGTGACGCCCAGGGGAGGGGACTTGGGGGTTTTCAGTGTGACTGGATGGATGGTAGCACCGTTCGACAGAGACCCCACAGCACCAGCTTAGGGATTGGAGGGAAAGAGGGGATGCTGTGTGGACACACTAACAAGTTGGAGCTTGTCACGGCTGCTCTAGGGGTGTCTGCCTAGGAAGTAAGGTACAGAGGTCTGTCATCTGCCTTGCTGCGTTGTCTCTTCTCTTCCCGCGTCCTGGGACTGCGGTGTAGGTCTGTCTTTTGACCTGCCCTCTTCTGTCTTGTCACCGGGGCTGGCTTCACCATCCAGCTTGTTGCCCCATACAGTCTTGCATCTAAAAGCTCGCCCCAGAGGTTTAATCCTATGCTGTCATCTTGAAATGTTGAAGACTCGTGCAAGGAACCCCACAGTTTTCTTTTGCAATTGAATCCCATAAATTACACAGCTGCTGCCTCTCGGAGCTGGAGCACCCCCTCCCCAGACCCCACGGGAGCTGGAGCACCCCCTCCTCAGACCCCACGGGAGCTGGAGCACCCTTTCCTCAGACCCCACAGGAGCTGGAACGCCCCCTCCTCAGACCCCACAGGAGCTGGAACGCCCCCTCCTCAGACCCCACGGGAGCTGGAGCACCCCCTCCTCAGACCCCACGGGAGCTGGAGCACCCCCTCCTCAGACCCCACGGGGGCTGGAGCGCCCCCTCCTCAGACCCCACGGGGGCTGGAGCACCCCCTCCTCAGACCCCACGGGAGCTGGAGCACCCCCTCCTCAGACCCCACAGGAGCTGGAGCACCCCCTCCTCAGACCCCACAGGACTAGCATTCTATGACCCACTTCCTAATCCTTTTGGATCTCTTATCCTCTGGCTTGGTTTTAAGAATGAATGTGAACAGAGAGCCCACCTGCTCGGTCTCAAAACCTTTGATGACATGCAGATAAAACCCCAAATTCCACTGGGCATGGTGGTGTACTTGGGAGGCAGAGGCAGTCAAGTGTCTGTGAGTTTGAGATGAGGCTGCTCTACGTAGTGAGAGCCTGTCTCGAATAAAAACAAATCCAGATGCCATCCAGCCTTCTTTTCTCCCCCTGTCCCTGTACGAGGATCCTTCACCTCCACACAGCTGCAGCCACAGCTCAGTTCTCCCCTCCCCCAGCCTGATAAAGAGTGTTATCACTCTTGCCACATTCAGGAACTATCTGATGTCTGCGTGTCTCTCACATGGTGTGGGCCAGACAGTGCTGGTGGAATGGAATTCATTGCTTGCTGAGAGACATGGAGCAGCTGGCCCTTGGGGAGGCACCCAGACAGCAAGTTGGCAGCAACAAGATCAGAGCCCCAGACACTGGGAAAGAGGCAAGAGGAGGATCCATAGTCCACAGCCCCAGGTCTCAGGGGAAGGGGAAGAGGTGTCTTAGACAGGAGAGGCTTAATGGCATACTAGTCATGCCTGCCCTGCTCCTGATTTGGAACGGGATGAGGGTAGACTGAGGGCAGAAGCAGAATGCTACGATGAAGCCACAAGGCAGAGTCTCGTCCCGTTTGTTATTTTCTCCCCTCTGCCAGTTATCTTCAGAGTGAGCCTGTGTTTTCTGAGGGTTTCCGACCTTTGTTTGAGTCACATGCTTTGTTCATCAGTGCCTTGCACTTGGAAGGCCTTTGTCAACATTGGGTCTCTCTTTGGAAAACAGCACACACTGTATTCAGATAATACTTTCAGGGAGCTCCTGGACTCATGGTTGATATGGGCTCATTGCATCCTCAGTCGGAGCCCCTGGGCCTCTTGCCTATCCCTATGTGGGCCAGACAGATAGAGGGAATGGATTAACGAGTGTCCACAGTGCATTGCTCAGAGCAATCCCATGATGAGCCCAGGGTCTCTACAAGCTCCAGTCCTCCTGGAAAGGGGGCTTCCTCACATCCCCCTCACTTCCCCCCCTCCAACTCCATGTAATTCACTTGTTTGGTGCGCATTGTCAGAGTAGTATGTGCTTGCCAATGAAGTAGAAAATTCAAAGAAGGGAAAAATGAGTGGAATTTTATTTTTATTTACCGGTGGGGATGGACACAAGCATGTCACAGCACACATGTGGAGTTCTTGGGGTTGAACTCAGGTTGTCAGGGTTGGTGGCCAGCACCCTTACTGGCTGTGGCATCTCTCCAGCCTTTGTTTTGTTTTTTCGGGTGCAGCTTCTTCAAGCTAACAGATCCAGATCTGACACTTGCTTTGACCTTAGAGGAAGGAAAGGGACTGCATTAGGAATCCAAGGTCTGGATTGCTATCAAGTCTCTGCTGCCCTGTGTTTAATCGTCGCTCTGCTATTTATAGTGTGTACGCCTTTCCCTCCCTGTGGCATCCCCACCTCTTGTCCCCTGGATCTTAGAACTGAACAAAGACAGGAGTGTGTCACTGCTGTGAAATGGCTCCTTTTCTTAGAACCCGTGGGACTTGCTCACCATCACACACAACATTTGACCAGTACAACCCCGAAAACGAACACCAAGGAGCTGAGTGACCTTCTCTCTCCTGTCAGGAAACTGTGGCAAAGGCCCTGTCCTTCACGGTCAGTTCCGCTTCACTCTCTCCCACTGCCCACGGAGTCAGCTAATGAGTTTCTCAGTCATATCTAGTGTAGTCTCTATCGGCCTAAGAAGACAGTCTGCCCAGGAAAAGCACAACATGAGGACTAAGTCTTAGCACCCTGTGCTGAGTGACAAAGAAGAGACCAGAAGACTTCGGTCCTGACCTGGGAAGGCTGGGAGAAGGGTTGGACCGCGGAGAGTTTGCTCATGCAGAAAGGGGGAAAGGCTGTAACTGAAGGAGACGCCATCCCACGGGAGTGGGAGGAAGGAAGCAGTCCTGTGTCATTTCCTGGGAGGATGAAACCTCCTTGGTGGGGGGCAGGGAGGCTCCAGAAAGCTGAGGAGGTGGGGGAGGTGCGGCAGAAGAGATGACACCTGCTGTGTGCCACCCAGGCCTAAAAGTGTTTATTGCCTTTTCTCCTAGTAATTTCACTTCTGGGAAGTAATCTTAAAATCTAAATACGAGGGAGGTAAAAGTATCTCCACAGGAGTGTTTATCGCAGAGCTATTTATAAAAAGGTAGAACTGGAAGCAGCCGACACATCTACAGGAAAACAGTGTGTTCAGCAGCCATTGAACGTGACACCCTCAGAAACCGCAGAGCACCCCGAATCAATCATGCTAACACGCTGGGGGGCCGACAGTTTAGGACAACAGCAGCGGTCCTTCATTGTGTGATGTTGTCAACTGCACTGACAGGGTGTTTCCCATAGAGTGTCCCCTTCACGTCACATCATCACATCACATCACATCACATCACATCACATCACATCACATCACATCACATCACATCACATCACATCACATCACAGGGTGGGGCCATTTGCATGTAACAGATTTAGAGACTGCGGCTTACCCAACACGTGGCAGCTCCAGCCTGAACTTCAGCAGTGTGTTCCCATCATTACCTTCCACGGTGGGACCAGAGGCAGGGAGGCCACCCCCACCCCACGCCGGGAGAAAAGCGTTAACTACAACAACGGCTCTTTCTTAGGAATAGGAGGGACAAGGAGGGGTAATTTCCGCCCCCCCCCCCATTTTTCTTCATTTTTTAAATTTTTTTTTTTAATTTTTCTTCTTATTATTCTGAGAGGAGGGTACACCGTGCAGTGTGTGTAGAGGTCAGAGGGAAACTCAGTGAATTGGGTCTCCCACCTTTACCTAGGTTCAAGGGACTCGAACTCATGAGCTCAGGCGTGCAATGCAACTGCTTTTAACCCCCTCAGCCATCTTGCTGGCCCAATTTTCTAAAGTTTTCCTCATGAAATGGTGATATATTTTGTGTCCCTTTCCCAATTTCCAGTTATCGACTAAGCTTATCAGCCTGCTGCTAGCTTTACCTGTCCCATTACCTATAGGTCTCGGTGACATTGTCATCCTCTGCTGCCTTTAATCTTTTCGTGGACGGAGTTTAAGGGAAGCACAGAATGTATCGAGTATGGATTTGGCAGAATTTATTTACCTTGAAGGGCATTTAGAAGATTTCTAAATTTTAATTGATTTATTTTGGGTTTTTGAAACAAGGTCTCAAGTAGTCCAGGCTAGCTTTGAATTCCCTATGTAGCCAAGGATGACCTTCAGCTCCTGATCCGTCTGTCTCCACTTCCCAAATGCTGGAGCTACAAGCATGTAGCACACACCTAGCTTAGAAGGTCTCTAATCCTTCACTCATACAGGCAGCCCAGCAAAGAGCATGTTCGAACCCCTTTGGGTAGAAGGAATTGTTTGCTTTTCACAGAAAAGACGGGCTCTCACCGATTGAGGGTGCAGAAATTTAATTGCTGGATCTGCATGGGAAAAACAGTCAGCAAGGTTAAAAATGGTGGTCTAGGGTGCGCCAGTGGTATAGCAAACACCCTGGATTCTATCACCAGGATCCAGTGAAAGTGAGGATGTGGTCAAGGGAGCAGTTTCTCTATCAGTATCCCCCTCACCCCATCCCCCGCACACTCCCCTTACCTTTCCCCTCAGAGCATTCCTACAGACTTACCAGGGCATGTCTAGAGCTTTTCTCTTTAAGGGAAGTTATAGATCAGATCCCCCATCCCATCCCTGCAAGCTACCCCTTGACAGATACTAGCATAGGGTTCTGGTGTGTGTGTGTGTGTGTGTGTGTGTGTAATGGTAACACCAGGCACCAAACAAACCAGGGTATGGCAGATAAACTAGCCCTGAACTACATCCCCAGCCCTTTTTTCTTGCAGAATCTTGCTGTTCAGCCCTCAAAGACCTGATACTCCATACACAGTCCAGGCTGGTTGGAACTCCTGGCAATCCTCCTCAGCCTCCCTAGTGCTGGGATTACTGATGTACCTCCATGCCCAGCGAAGCAGCTTGATTCTGTTTAGCTTTGGGCTAATCCTCTTCAGGAAGACAGTTACTCTGCTGCCCACAGGGCACCAGGATGCAAACGTGTTTCCACTTCATTCACATCCACTCTTCCCCTGGAGGTGTTTCAAAAGCAAATGTCATTTGAAAATCCGGGAACCTCAGCCAATTCCTTACACCTGCCATGTGGCCGGCAGCCAGCTTTGTTGGGGCGGGGGCGGGGGGTTTGTACTGTTGCTTGAATTATGTGAAAGAAGAGGCTGGAGTTAGAGGTCTTAAATAACTCAGGCCTTCGGCTATCACTCCTTAGACCCTATAAGAAAGTCACAGCTCCAGCCCTGGCAGGCTGTGTGATCTTGAGCAAGTCAGTTTCTCTTCTATAAGTAGGGGTCTCGGAAGCTGCCTGATAAGGTTGTATGGAGTAAATGAACTGCCACTGTGCACTTCAGCTAACATTCTGTCTACACCTAGAGAATAAATGATGAGTCATGGATCCGATCCACCAGGATCCTAGGAAGGAAGTTCCTTGATTTTTAAGAGAGCTCTGCTGGAGAACCTCTGATCCAGGTTGGAAAGTCTACTCATTTTTTCAGGCAATGAGATGGTAGCTTGAAGCCACGTAAGCAAAAAGACAAAGTGGGCCATAAGCAAACACTGTTTTGAAGGCAGCTCCTAAACAAACAGGAGTCCAAACCCGTCCTGCCGCTGCGCTGGCCAGCACGCTGTGTCCCATCTCCTTTTCACTTTTATCTTCATCGATCTCTTCCGCTTAGCATCAGCAGCCGGAATGCCAATCTATACCTCTTAGGTAAGAGGAAAAGCATCAACTCAGTGAACTTTAAAGATTGTGTTCAAGATATGTTATTAGAAACAAAAGCTGAGTGTCAGGGTAGTGGCACACACCTGTATTCCCTTGGGAGGCCGAGGCAGGAGGATTACCTGGAGTTCAAGGCCAGCTGAGTTTCATATTGAAAACAAGGGGCTGGAGTGATGGCTCATTGGATAAGAGCACTGGCTATTCTTCCAGAGGACCAAGGTTTAATTCCTAGCACCCATCTGACAGCTCACAATTACCTTTAACTCCAGTTCCAGGGAATCTGATGCCTCTGACCTCTGAGGGCCACACACCACCACCCACATACATATGCATGATTAGAAAATCAAGGTAAATCTTTAACAGCAACAAAAAAGAAATTAAAAAAATACATTGCATTCCTGAAAACATCTAGAAGGTAAACCATTGTTGTTTATCCTGTGATATAAAAGTGCCTGTAGCAAGAAATTGAAACTAGAAGTTCAGCCACAGGAAGCTGAGCCGTGGAGAGCAAGCTTAAGTGGGAAGTCCAGTAGACTAGACTGCCTCAACTTCCCCAGTCAGTGTCTGCTGGGTATTGTGAGTACCTGATTTGATGATGTCATCTCTATCTGCCCCTTTTTGTTCTTTTATGTGGAGACCTCACCAGATGGGACAGTTCCCTCTGCCCTGGGTTCTCTCTCTTGGGAACTCCAACTTTCCTGCTCGCTTTCTGCTGGACGCTTTAAGTGCCTGATTCGGTGATGTTTTGCTATCTCTCCATCCATCCATCTTGCCCTTGTTTTTTATTCTCTTACTTTGGCTTGTTGTATACTTAATGAACTCGCTCATTCACAGCCCAAAGTATAGCTGTTGTGGACCATTCCCTGGACGGTGCAGCACAACGTAAGAAGACAGCAATAATAAAACTGACCTCATACGGCTGTTCATCAGGCGAAAGAAGCGGATCTGTACACCTAGGGAAATGTTTGCCACTCAGTCAACATGCAAAAATGGACTGATATTACTTGTATCACCAAAAAGAAAATGTAAGTGTGTGTAGTGTGTGTGTGTGTGTGTGTGTGTGTGTGTGTGTGTGTGTGTGTAGCTGGATTATATAGCATGGCAGCATATGCCTGTAATCCTAGCATGTGGGAGATGGAGGCAGGAGGATCAATAGTTAGAGGCCGACTTAGACAACACAGTGAGAACAGTTATAAAACTACAGGAGTAGGGAGGTGGCTTAATGGACAATGTCCTTGCCGTGCAAACTCAAGGGCTGCGGTGCGGATCCCCAGCACCCAGGTAAATGCTGGGCAGGTAGAGTGCCTGTGTAATCCTGGCTCTCAGGAAGCAGAGACGGGGATCCCCAGGGCAAGCTGGCTAGCTAATCAGCTAGATATGGGTTCAGTGAGACTCTGCCTCAGTACATAAAGTGGAAAGCAGTGGAAGAAGACCCCCAGGCATCAACTTCTGGCCCCTGCAAACAGGTGTCCATTCATGTGGTAACATGAACTCATGCTTGCACATGCGTACAGATGCAAATATATATAAATATATGTGTGAGTGGTGGTTTGAATGAGACCGGCCCCCATAGGCCGATACATTTGAAAGCTTGGTCCTCGGATAGTGGAACTGTTGGGAAAGGATTAGGAGGTGTGGCCTTGTTGGCGGAGGTGTGTTATTAGGGGTGGGCTTGAGGTTCCAAAAGCCCATGCCAGACCCAGTGTCTCTCTCTCTGCCCAAGTATCTGGATGTAAACCCCTCAGCAACTATTGGCTTTTTGCGGTAATGACATAGGTTAGTCCTTTAAAACTCTAAGCAAACCCCCAATTAAATGTTTTCTTTTTTAAAAATGTATTTTGTTTTCCTTATTTATTTTTAAAATTTCTTTATTTAAGTATTTTATGTATATAAGTACTTTGTGTGCATGTACATCTGCACACCAAAAGACAGCATCAGACAGGTGTGAGCTGCCGTGTGGGTGCTGAGAATTGAACTCAGGACCTGTGGAAGAGCAGTGAGAACTTTTAACCACAGAGTCATCTCTCCAACCCCAGATGTTTTCTTTTTTAAGAGCTGCCTTGGTTATGGTGTTTCTTCACAGCAGTAGACATGTAGACAAGCT